CAAAATTTAAATTAATAATTATTCCTGGGACACAGAAATATCACACATTTGTTCCTAACGAAAAATATCGTTGGCTAACGAATATGATATTTTTCCCAAAAATGTTCAATAAAAAGTTTATTATTATTGTGAGACACTTGCAATTGCATAAAATAGTAGAACTTATTTACATTTACGTGCACGTGTAATTTATTCAGAGTAAGAGCTACTTATTACTTTCTACATTTTTCTTTTTCGACTACAAAAAACAAAACATGGGTTTTAATTGCTATTAATTTGAACTATTGCAATCAAATCAATGAGTTTAAGGCAAAACGACACAAGCGCCAAAAATTTTAAATTTGTTAAAAGTACCTGCAAAAAAAAAATTGGCGCTTGTGCTGTTTGACTTAAACCCATCAAAAAATACATTTATTTTTATATAAAAATAATTTTAAAAGTTGTATTGACCCTCTCCAATTAATCTACTAAGTAGTAGACCGAGCACCGCTGCAATAGGTATACATTAGGGTGGCCCAAAAAAAAAGAATATTTTTTTTATTCTCGTCTCTTGTAAAAATATGTTGGTTTGTCATGTTTTAAGAACCCTTTTAAAATATCAGCTCGATTAAAAATTTTGTAGGGGTCGCTCAAGATTTTTAAAAATTTTCAAATTCGTCAAAAATTGTATTTTTGTTTTATTTTAATTCTTTTTCTCGTCTTGATATTATTTTTTAGGTTGAAAATAATAAAAATTCTGTAAATTTCAAATCAATATTTTGATTTCTAAAGGTCGCTAAAAGTTCGTTGATATTTATATTAAGAGGTCGCTCGAAAACATTCAAAATACTCTACTTTGAAAGTTAAAAAAATCTTGAGCGACCTTTAGAAATTAAAATATCGATTTGAAATTTTCAGAATCATTATTATTTTTAAATTAAAAAATAATATCGGAACGAGAAAAAAAATTAAAATAAAAATAAATCCAGTTTTTGACGATTTTGGTAATTTTTAAAAATCTTGAGCGACCCCTAAAAAATTTTTAATGGTGCTGATCTTTTGACAGGGCTCTTAAAACATGACAAACCAACATATTTTTACCAGAGACGAGAAGAAAAAAAATATTCTTTTTTTTTGGCCACCCTACTATATATAGTATACCTATTGCAGCGGTACTATAGTAGCTGCAACCCTTATTTTTTTAGACTTATTCTTGGGATCCCATCTTCATATTACATCAAAATTTAGGGAATTAAAAAAGCTTTCTTTTGATATTAATTTTTGAAAAATCCAATGTGTCGCATTTCAAGAAAAAAACAAATATATTTTTAAAATCGTTTTTTTATAACCAAAAAATTTTTTCTCGCTTTCGAGACCATTTTTATCGTAAAGCGTGAAAAAAATGCTATACGATATGTTGATTATCAATTAAAAAAAATATTATAATATTATATACATAAATATTTCGAGGTCTTTTAAGCGCACGAGAAAAAAGAAATTTCAGGCCCCAGCTAATCCTTTTTGCCCCCCATTTGGAAAATTAAGGTAGTCCAATAGGAGAATTACTTATTTGGCAAAGTTTTGTTAAAATCGGAGACACCATTTTTGGCATTAAAAATTACTAATTTTTTGAAAAATATTTTGCCTGATATAATTTAAAAAGAATTTTAATTTCACACGTCGATTTTATTCCGTGATTCGTAACATTAATCCTTGTATTAATTCTAGAATACAATATAAAATTCTGATTTTTTGCAGACTTATACTTGAAATGTGAGCGCTTCTAATAGCAATTCAAAAATTTTAAAAATTTCTAGATTTTACCCTGAGTCGAGCTATGTGAATTATTGAAAATTTCTATACATATATCGAGTCAAATATCAAAAAAATTAAGTCGCTAACTTCATCGGTTGTAGAAATATGAATTTTTATCCAAGAGTCCTGAAATGCGCGCTAGAATAATACATCATACATATAACTGGAAACAAATTTTCGAACGCAAAAACGAAAAATGCACCGATACTTGATTCACGCCCCCACTGACGGCGCGAGTAGATCAGGCAAGACAGAGTAAGCATGTCGACACGGTTTCGAATATCCGAGCACTGTCACATACATATAAAGAATTCTTACTTATAAGTAAGAATTCTTTATATGTATGTGACTATAGTCTTTTGAATTAAATAGATATTATTGTAGATTTCACAACAGTGCCTAGCGACTTTTTATTGGTTGTTTTGTATTCGCGGCAAGGTCAGAGAGAGAACGATATAACCGGGTGGGACTTTATGATGTCCATCATAGTACATACACCCACACTGTGTGGGTTGTGCATACACCTTAGTTAGGTTCTGGGTATAAGTGGCCATAAGGGCCAGGAGTAATCCCTAAATTATATTAAGGGACATTCTCCTAACAATAGTTAATTCTGCCTGATTAATCATAAATTTATAGATTGCCCTCCTCCCTTCCTTAGTCCCGTAGAAGATAAACATCGTAGTGCCATTTATAGATCCCCGTACGGTACGGTTTTTGTATTGTTCATCTTCTACAGGAGGAAGGAAGGAAGGAAGGCAATCTATAAATCAGGCTTTAAGCATGCCGCTATATTGAATATTCTTTTTATGATGACTAGGTTAACCAAAAAGCGGACATTTGATTACGCCAGAACTATTCCTGGTGCAGAATAATCTTGGGAATATTCCTGACATGTGCAGGGAATGGTGTTTTGAGGTCTGGGTTAAAATTAATATTGGTAAATATGCTCTTTTTTTAAACATAGAAGCTCAAAAGTACCTACACCAAAACAAAATAAAAATATTTACTACAACCATCTTTTAGTAAATTTACCGTTGATCTATCTGCAAAAAGAAAAAAATAGAGGACATGCATTTTTAGATAAATTGGTATTTTAACCATTTTCTTTTTATTTACAGCTGAAAATATTGGCTAGAGTAACTGCATATTTTTTAGTTCTAAATAGGTATACCTATTATAATGTTTGAATTATTTTTAACAATTTTTGCTTAAACTTAATTTTTAAGTTTTTTGTTAAATTCTTAATTTTTGAGTATTTTATTGTTTATTATTTATTTTCTATTTTGAATTAAAATTTTTAATAAAGAGTTTTATTTTTTTTATTTATATTTATTAACAATCAATTATTATTTTCCAAAAAACATTAATTTTAAAACAAACTTTAAATCAACCGATATCTAGCACATCTGGGGTGGCAACATTCCTGTTTTTTTGGCAGGATTTGCCCCTTAATTTAACCTCTGGCAGATTAGTTGGCATTTTATGAAATTTGGCAGTTTTTGGCAGTTTAACAGGAAAAAATATCGAAATAATGTAATTTTTTTCCATACTTTATTAAATTATTTCATTCTCTATGATTTTTTTTAGTAGAGCGCCATCTCTAGGGCATTTAATTCGCAAGTAGTAGTATTCTATAATAAATAGATCCTTCTTTCCTTGTTTTAAATCACTGCCGCTAGATTAGTGCTAACCCAAACGTTTCGCGGAATTCACAGAAAATATTTTATATAAAAAATATTTACATATTTCAAATTTTGCGAAGGGGCTGTTGTGTTTGCCGATGTCCAACGCTGCGTGTGAGAGAATCTTTTCTCAAATTAATCTGATTAAAACAAAAATACGAAATAGATTTCTCAATAAACATGTATCCTCAATATTGCATGTCAAACAAGGCATTAGTGAACATGGCGATTGCATTTCATTTCAACCCACCAAGGAAATGGTGAAACAAATTAAAAAATCTATGTATAACGAAAATAACAGAGAAGAATATGATTTAAATGTCGATGTTTTTAAGTTGTTTTACTTGTAGGTAGGTAAATGTTAAATTATTTTTTTTATGGTGTTGTGAATACAAATTTTATTTGAAAAATGTTTTTATTTCATTACTTTGTTAAATAAAGTTGGCACTATTTTGGCATTTTCTTTGATAGGGTTTGGCAGTATTTGGCAGTTTTCTAGCTAAAGCGTGGCAGTTTCTCTAATCATAGAAAAAGGGTCTCTAATTTTAAGTTGGTCACACTGTGTTACACATGATACATGGTTTGTTGTATCATGCCCATGCCCTGTGCACTCGCCTTAAACAAACAAAATCCACATTTTTGTCTAGTCGACTTTGGTTTTAGTTTACACTCGAGTTGCATGTGGCAGGAGCGGCGGTTAATCTTGACGGTTGCTTGGTAACGAAATCAACAAACTTCAGTTTGATTTTTGTAAAGTTTTGTAAATTCATATTGTGTTTATTTGGTTTGTTCTGTACGTACGTACGCTTAAAAACTTTTATAATTGCGATTTATCGTTATCTGTGTACTCTATTTTTTATATATTGCTACATTATTTGAACATTAACATGGTGTTGTGCTGTGCTGTGGGCTGCTCTAACAGTCAAGTTATGATGCATACTTTTCACAATGATGACAAGGTTGTATTGTATTATTCAATTATAACTATTTTATTAAAACAAGGTACTTACACAAATGTGGTACATAATATTATTACTTTATACTGATTTGTGTTCTTTAATAAGATAAAATTCACTTGAATACATTATTATATTGTTAATTGGTTTAGTTTAGTAAATACCTTGAATAATTTAAAATATAATACATTTATTTTTGCTTTTCAAATAAACAATTTAAATAAACTATCAGGCCTTTTATTTTTTACTATTTTTACTGTCAAAATTTGACAGGATAACCTAAATTAAAACCATAACCTAAAACCAATAAATGTCAGGCGGGTACACTAGCGGCATAGCGGGCCGAGTGTGCGTAACAAGGAGCGTCAAATATGTGACAGTGGCGTATCTATATGATTTATTATCTATGATCATGCCTGTTACATATGTATACTTACCACAAAACTTCTAGTTTTGTCCACAATCCACACAATTGTGGTTTTGTCATACTTACCACACATATACCTACCTGTTATTGCAACCTTATGTTTTGTGATTGCAACAGTACCCCCACAGAACATAAGTGCCCCCTTCGGGGTTTTCTATGCAACAGTGTAAGAATGTGTTTATAACATTCCTTTACCGTTCTGTAATGAAAAATATTTTGCAACCTGAATGTCTAGTTCTTGAATCTAGCAGTTCCAGTTAATAAAAAATACAGTTATCAGTGTAGTGATTGTAAAAATAAAATGTTTTAAGCTTTAAGTGACATTCTAAAGTTAACCTAAAATGCCTGACACGGTTGAATCAGATTTGGCGAAGGTTTTAAAGGGTTTACCTTTGGATGGTAACGACGAAGAGAACTGTGATTTTACCCTAGAAGAACAAAATGTAGCCCTAGAAGCCCAGGGCATTCAACCCAAGATTGACCCAAATTTTAAGCCCATTTTAGGAGTTACCACCACCTTTATAGTGGCTGTTGTTATGTTAAATGAAAATAATGAAGTCTTGATGATACAAGAGGCCAAAAAAACATGTGCTGGAAAGTGGTAAGTACAGGATTATTTCATTTTTCTGAGTCACTGTAGCATTGCATTTATTGTAAGGTTTTAAAATATGGACCAAGAGGCAGTATAACACATGCCAGAGGACGTCTCATACCAGGCTGCCTCTTGAAGGACCAAATTTATTTGTGTAATTTAGGTACCATAAAAGCAACAAAAAAGAGCTATGTGGGTACGTAGGTACCTTACAAGCTTGTAGGCAGAGATAAAGAAGGTTGTAGCACATGTAGGGCATTATCTAAAAATTGGATTAAAAATGAGAAATAAATTCATCAGAAGATTAATAGCAGAGTTTCAACTTGTAGGCCTGGCAGTAACTTGAAACCCAGCCTGCCGATTTGCACTTGTTCATGACATCTTTATTCTTTTTTCGATTCATACCAATATGAGTTTTTTTATTTCTTTTATCATACCTAAAATGTGTAGGTAGTACCTCTTGGTCTTATAGGCATGTATCTAAAGCTTAGAACCTTGCATGGTAAGATACGTAGGGGGTATTCTTACAATAACAATAATATAAATAATAAATGCTTTGTCCAAAACTTGCCTAAATCTAAAAGTTAAAATTTCTAATTGAAATTAAAAATATTTAACCTTAAAATGTAGAAGTGCTAACTAAATATCATAAAAGGTTTTTAGCAATGTGTGCAGTATATTTTTTAAAGGGTATCCCAAAAATGGTTTCTTTCATACCACACAATATTTTTGTGCCCTACCAAAAATTACTTTATATTATTTTTTTGTTTTAAAGCCTATTACAATTTATTAATATTAAAGTATTAAAAACATATAAAATTACCTACCTATGTTAAAAAAATTTAATTGTAATAAAGTTAATAAAGTTATTTTAAACAAACGCGTAAAATGTTTGTAAAATTTTTGTTATGATGCTAATGTGTCATTTTTGGGATAAGCAAATATATTATAAAAATTTTATATCTGACCAATAAAAAGCATGATATTTGCAAAAATTCAATCCGAATTATTCTCGAAATTATTATTATTAGGTATGTTACCGCCAATATTCGAAAACAGTCATTATGCATAAAAATTAAGCATTTAAGGAATTATGCGTAGACCCTTAAGTTCTTAGTTATTGTGCATATTAACTAAAGCCGGGTCTACAATTGTCGCATGACGCAGATCGCAGAACATAAGCCTGCGCAAAGCACCCAGCGACGCACTATGGTCAAAAAGCAGCGTTTTGCGGAAAAATTCTTTTTGACTGTATTATATAAGGATTATTGAGTATAATTAACTATATTTCAATAAAAATACATAAAGGTTTTTAATTTACTGTACCTATAGACTTTTTTATAGCAAAGAAATATTTATTTTTTACTGTGTTAAAAGATATAGTTTATTAAAATGTGTGAGTAATTTTTAACCTATTTTACTGTTTTAAAAATATTCTACTTTGAGGTGTCATAAAATCAAAACATAATTACCTATCTAAAAATATTTCTTTACCGAAATCTATTCCTTTAAGATGTTTTTAACAAATTATCGTCATACATTTTTTTTATTTAAAATACCCATAGGTAATAAAAAGTTTTTAAAAATGTATTTTTTCCGCCTATAAACCATAGTGTATCGCTGGGTGCTTTGCGCAGGCTTATGTTCTGCGATCTGCGACCTGCGACAATTGTAGACCGGGCTTAAGAACTTAGAACTTTAGAACATTATGCATAATAACTAGATATTTCAGTTAATATTCATTGTGGGCAGCGAGAATCAGTCTATTAATGCCACTTCTCAGTTAAAACAAAATATAGTTTGTGGAAGTACCTAATATATTTATTAATTAGAACAACATTTTTATTGCCACATTGTATTATTTGGACATTTAAATAGGTAGGTAAGTTTAATGTAAAATTTGGCGGAGCCTTTTTATATTAAACTAAACTTAACAATACTATTTTTATGTAGCTTGGGAATTATGATAATACCTAAAACATTTAGCCATTATGTATATTTTCTAACCACGTCATAGTTATTGGGGGTAATGTAGGTAAAATTCAAGAAAGATATTCTAAACTCTATTTAAACAAAAATTACTTACCTTTCTATAATACTATAAGATATTAGTAATCTATTATATAAAAACTAGAAAAATCCATTATATTTCTTAACTTTAAGTGGGTGGTTTGTAACTGTTTAATTCATATTTTAAGTTTCTAGAGTTAGCAAAAAATTACTTATTTAATACGATTTATTTATTTGAACAAAAGGAACTGTGATGTTACCAAGTCTTACCCTTGTGGAAATTTTTCTCTGAAAAAGTTTTAGTACGTAAAAATAAGAGTTTTTAAAGTCTTACTTTCTCTTAAAAAGTCTGAATAATACTTATTAAGTCGGAAAAAGTCTGAATAAGCCTTAGTTAGTAAGTCAGACTAATAGCAAGATTTGGGAGTCTATAGCGATTAAAATAAATATCCGGAATTATTCAGAGAGGTTGTATTTGATTATTATAAAATAAAACACAAAGAAAAGTGTTTATTAACATTTTATTGCATAATTACCAATACATATGTGAGGTGTAATATTATAGCAATTATAATTTTTTACATACAAAGCGCTTGACTTGCTTTTATTGTTGCCACTGTACGTTTTATTTTAATAGTTTCTTTTTATACGCAAAATGTCTAACCCACAACTCACACAACAAGGTCTGTTAGCAGTTCGCGTAGAGTGAAAATCACCAAATTGCCGCCATATTGTTCCAAACACTTTTTAGACACAATATCGATTTTCTCAGCTGACCAATTAGAGCACAGCTGATCTGTCATGTGATGGCATCTTCCCGCGTTTTCAAGATAGCTCTTCTGTCAATACTTACCAAGTGTTGCCATTTGTGGGTATTTTACTCGGAAATCGGGTATTTTCGTCATGTTTGCGGGTAGAATTTTGAAGCGGGTAAAATCAGATATTTTGCAAATTTCGATCAAAATACCAACTAAAGAAATTTTCAGTAAATAATATGGTATGGCTAAAAGTGCATAATTATTTTATTCTATATAGGATATCCTTATGTACTTAATCAACAAGGGATCTGTATGTACACAAACCAAACGTATTTCCCAACTGTTATTCTGTTCAATTAAAATAAAGTTTGTTTACCTATATTGTAAACATTGCTTCGGTGTTTTTATAAGCCTTATAACAACACAAAAGCAGTGTTTACAAATACTTCTTATTGTGCTTTCTTTTGCAATAACCAAATACAACATCTCTGAATAATTCCAGATATTTATTTTAATCGCTATATATTATTCAGATTTTTTAAGAGAAAGTAGGAATATCAAAACTCTTATTAAATCTTTCTCAGAGAAAAATTTCCACAAGGATACTATTGCGTAATCTCTTGTTTTTACAACGACGAGTACTGTTTTTACAGAACTTAGTACCATTGCATCTTTAGTAACCTTGCATAGTACCAGAAGAAATATGTGGGTAAAAGGCATAAGGGGATAAGTAAAAAAGCATTTTTTTGTAGCCTTAAACGTATTCGCATTAATTAACAATAAACAATTTATTTATTTAAACAAGAAGAACTATGGTGTTACCAAGTCTTACTATTGCATAATCTCGTATTGTTTTTACAACGACAAGTACTGTTTTTATAGAACTTAGTATTATTGCATCTTAATTCAGGAAATATATTCATGTTTAGCGGGTATACGCTTTTGCTAGCATATGACATGTGCTGGTAAAAGCGTAACCATACATGTATTTCCTGAATTAATGCGAATACGTTTAAGGCTCTTCTAAAAATTTGCTTATTTTACCCATCCCCTTATACCTTTAACAGAAATTATATATCATTTTGAGTAAATCGTTGGACAAAAAATGTAACAGATTGGAAAGTGTCATCAATGCATTGCAATGGCCTGAATTGCTCCGCCCACAATTAATATTAATTGAAATATCCAGTTATTATACATACACTCTTAAAATGATTTAGTCAAAAATGACTAATAATAATTTAAAGTCAAGTGTCAAGCGAATTTATAATCGCTGCTCCATTGCTACCTTTATAAAAATTACATTTGTCTATAAATATTGTTAATAATAAAGTTGAATATCTTTTTTGTGTTGCTGTTTTAAATTATTATTTATTTTAAAGTTTGGCATCTGGCAACATTGCTCATAATTTAAAAACGGACCAGACTATGAAATGGAATAAAAAGGACGTCATAACTGCTTGATCTCGAAAGTAGAGATTTTCAAATTTGAATGAATTTCAATTAATAATTACGAGTTAGAATTTTTTTACTTATTATGCGTTAATTTTGACGGGCAGTGTAGTATATTTAAGAATAATTAAAAAACTGTTATTTTTAACGTAAAGTTTTTTTTTAAATTTAAATTAAATTTAATACAAACCCCCAATTCCCAGGCTAAAATACTTAAAAACAATTTTTTTGTTAGGTATTTACCAGCAGGAAGAATGGAAAAACAGGAAACCATAGTGATGGCAGCAAAACGCGAAGTTTTGGAAGAAACAGGTTTGGAAATTGAATGCACTTCCTTGTTGATGATTGAATGTGCTGCTGGTTTTTGGATAAGATTTGTTCTAACTGGAAAGGTGCTTGGTGGTGAATTAAAAACTCCTGCTAGGGCTGACCAAGAATCTTTGCAAGCCAAATGGATTGCTAATATTGATGAATTAGAACTAAGGTCTTCAGATATTAAGCATCTCATAGAAAGGGCGAGGTAAAATTTTAATGAAATTAAAAATGTTATTAATAAGTCAATTTTTAATTAGTTCATTAATTGAGTAAATATTAACAGGATATCAAAATTGAATTTAATTAAAAGTTTAAATGTTTATTTTCTGCTAATAAGTTACTATTAAGCTTCTTGATTTTATTATTTTTAATGTATTGTGGTCTTATGTATACATTTGGGGCAGCTCATAGCATTTTTCCTAAAAAAGTAACAAAATTTGTTAATATAATATGTACCGGCAACCAGAAATTGGCAACAATTTTAATGTTGATTTCCTCCGATTTTAATGATTTTTTTTCGTTTTTTTTAAATGTTGGTTGACTCTTTCGTAACGATTCTATGGTAGAAAATTTTTTTAAAGCTTAGTTTTCATGTATCCGTTTGTCCGTTATCCGTTTTTCAATAAAATCGTCCGATAAGAAATGTTCTAATTTTCATGCATCCGTTTTTTAATGACGTTTAACGGATTGATTGGGCGACAAATAGAAATTAAGGGTAAGTATATTCACTTCACTAAATTTACCTAATGCTTAATTGTCATAGTTATGTCAACAATTGTAACTTTTACAGTTAGCTGTCTAATAAATTTAAAGGTTGGTAAATATACCATATAAAAACTAGCCTTAATATACATTATAAATGTTTAGTTTAAAAAAGCAGGTCCTTTTAGTTTTGGTTTTAATATTTTTTTTTTTGTATTTTCCTTTTTTCTGTTAGGTATTCTTATTAAATAAAAACATAATAGTAGAACATTACTCACATAACGAACGTATTTCCGTTTTACAATCTTATTAAAAAAATATTAAAAGATTTAAAAATGAATTATCTTAAAATAACGTTAGGCATCAAAAACAGATTTGTAGTGACGGATGAGTTAAAATTATTTTAACTTTTTCTGTCAGACGTACGAAGTTGAAACTTCGGACCGATAAATTGTCATACATTTTGAATTATAATTGGACCAATAAGAGCGCTCCCGGATGAACGGACTAACGGATACATAAAATTGTTTATCATAGCATCGTAACTGAAAAGTCAAGTTACAATAAAAAAATTAGATGAGCAGTTTTGGAGGAAATAAACATTAAAATTCTGGCCAATTTCTGGTGGGCGGCTTTTTTCGCTGGCGAGTGTATATAAAATTTAATACAATTAATTGTTTCGGGATAATTTGTGTTAAATTACTTAATTTTCTCATTTTTTATGCCAATGTGCATGGCATTATTAAATTTGTCCTAACAAAAGCAACTATTTATATTTGTTTATTAATTAATTATACCTTATTATAGTTAGTTGAAACACTATTAAATTTATTATTATTATTATTATTTAAAAAATAATGTGGCAACCAATGAAATAAAACCTATTAATTTAATATTATTATGTTTGGTAAACACTTTTAAACAGAAAAGCAAAGGTCTTTAAATATAAATGAAGCTTAAATTATGAATTAAAAAATTTGACAGTCTCATAATTTTAGTTTTTTACCGTTTTTAAAGAATGTAAAAAACAGTTTAAGCATACAAGTATTTTGGTCAATTTAGGAAAACGCTTCTACAATAGAGTTTTGGCATAGATCTCTGTGATGCTATAATAGGGCAAGTGATACCTTAAACAAATATTATAAATATTCCCCAACACCAAAACAAAACTCAAGTATATGTTGAGCAACAATTGGATGGGTCATTTAGTTTGTCTAACATATTTCTTGTCACAATCTTGACAGTTTATTTCGTAGATCCTCGACTTTTCAGTTTTAGGAATCCAGTCCAATAGTTTCGGCCATTGGTTCCCCGACTTATAAATTAGTTAAATGCTTAACAAATGAATTTAATAACCTTGCTGTTAAGCAACCTAAACTCAAAGGAGTTTATCGAGAAAGTCAAAAGTTTTACACTGCAAGACAGTGAGTGATTAGTTTCATTTGATGTTAGTTCACTTTTTCCAAATGTCCCAGTACCACTTAAATTTACTTATCTAGAGAATTTACTCAAAGAAAATAGTTTTTCTAATGAGACTGTTCCTGTTGTGTTTTGTTTTGGTGTTGGAGAATATTTCTAATATTTATTTAACTTATCACCAAAGTAGTTTAAAGTACAAGAGATACCTTCTTTGAAATCTCCTAAGTAACCTTGAGTAAAATAAAAGAATATTTTTTTAATATATATATATATATATATATATACAGGGTGTTATGTAATTAATGTTATATATTAAAATACTGAATACCTTTTGACATAAGGAGTAAAGAAAAAATATAAAAAAAAAATATTTTTCCAAAGATAAAGAAAAAATATGCATTAGAAATTTTTTAGATTTTTTGTGATACGCCACTGGTTTATCTCTGCACACTTGTGTTCTGTGAGGACATAGATACCAACCAACAAAGTAGCTGCGCGTTGCCAGATGTAAAAAATTGTTACTAAAATTTTTTCTTGCAAAAAATAAATAAAAACTCAATAAATAAAAAAGTTTTATGCCCTTAAAGCTCTAATACCCTTCTCTATTTATTTACTCATCCAGCTATTAGCTTAAGCAATGATTAGAAAATTTAGTACATATTTTAAAAAATCTATAACCACAAAATTAATTTTTTCATCAGTTTTTTTCTTTCTGTTTACTCAGATGAAATTGGGACCAATTAACAGGTTAAACTTTAAACATTTAATTTGTGTAAATAAATCCAAAAGCCCTTCCCTTAGTTAAGATATTTACAATTTGAGCACATAACCTAAAATTTGAAAGAAATGCACTAGATTCTGTCATAAAAGTTGGCAGATTTTGTTTGAATTTACCTTCAGTACAAAAATGACATAACCAACAATTAATAAAAACGCCAAATTGACAATTTGCATTGTTAATTTTGTCATTTTTGTAATTAAGCTAAATTTAAACAATGTTTGTCAACTTTTTTGACAGATTTTGGAAACACTGTTGTTACCAACCATAACATAATAAAGTTCCTAGTCGATCAGTGGCGTACTTTTTGGTAGGATAAAGGTTATTATAAATTATTTTTAGACTTTGGAATTTAGAAAAAAAAAGTTTCAGGTGCTTCTTTATGGACCCTAAGGAACAACCCATTTTAATATATAACATTAATTACATAACACCCTGTATACATTGATAACCTTAAAATTTTAAAACCCCAGATTAGAGGAGGGAGATTTAAATCGTTCAATCAATTTAAGTACTTAAGTAGCCTATGGGCATTGATTGTCGCTAGGAGTGTAGCAAAGTCGCCAAATTAGCGATAAATCGCCCAACCTGGCAACCCTGTTTATTACAGGGTACAAAGACCCTTCAAATAAGGTATTACTTGCCCTACCATAAAATAATTTTTTAAATCGTAGATAAAATTAATATGTTGGTAATACTTACTTGGTCATAAGTAATTTCAAAGGTTCTTGAAAATCCTCATTGGAATAGTCTGTAATGTATTGGAGTTGATCGGTCCAGCCGCTCAAACCCGCCTCCAATCTACTGGCAGATAAAACTGTTGCTGCCAGTTTAGATGGAGAATAACACTGCATGTAGTGAATATCTAAAAATATTTTTATTTTATGTTGTCCTAGGTATTTTTTCTTTCAACAAGAATAGTCTATCCAGGTTTTTTATTTCAAGGGATTTTAGAAATTAATAGATTGCAGATGCTCGAGTTCTCTTAAAAGGGCTCATAAACAATCATAAATCATAACGAGCATTTAGTTATTTTTCTAGTTGCAAATTGGATGTAAATGAATGTGTATATAGAAAACAAGAGAAAAACTAATTTATTTGTTTGTTATGTTATAATCCTGCCATATAATTTGGATTTAAATCGACTATTTATTTACCATTTAAGGAACCCTTTAACAAAGGTAAACATGGCAAGATAATCTATTCCCTAGATATATTATCTAGGAGTTATTATAAAAACAAACCAAATAAGAGATACAGGGTGTCACCAAATAAGTTGTCATCTTTTAAGGGAATGATAGTACACGCCAAAATAAGAAAGATTTTCTATCATTTTTGCATTATTGCCATTTTTTTAATAAACAAATGTTTAACATTTTTATAAGAGTCATTCCAAATAAAAACACCAAATGGGGTGCGTTGCTTGATTTTTTATTTTGATAAAAATCGTTTAGGTATCAAATATGAAAATCTGTGGCCGTTTTAATTTTTGGATTCTGTACTTTTAATCGGCACCCTTTAGAAATCTGAAATCGTGTCAATTTCTTACTCTCTTATTATAATAGTGGTCCAGAACTTTTTTTCTGTGACAAATATTTAAATGATTTTAATTTTTTATAACTGTTCAGTAAGTGTGTTTTCGATATAAATTATTATAATCCAATTGGTTAATCTCATAAAAGAATGGTAAACCACTATAGATTCATGATAATTTTCCAATTTTTGTGATTTTTGTATGGCTCCTGTGCCTATTATACTAAATCTAGAAAGTTATTTTTTTTCAGGTATCAAGTACTTATACAATAGAAAACGTAACTATTATTTTAAGTTTTATGAGATGAACTAATTGGATAATAATAATTAATATTGAAAACATACTTACTAGACAGTAAAATAAAATTACAATAATTTCAATAATTGCCACAGAAAAAAAGTTTTAGCCTCTTATAAGAGAGTAAAAAAATTACACGATTTCAGGTTTCTAAAGGGTGCCGATTAAAAATAAAGCAAGTAAAAATTAAAACGGCAACGGTTTTTCATATATGAAAGATCATTCTCAAATTTTTTCATTAAAATAAAAAATCATGCAGCGCACTTTTAAATTCATTTTTGGTGTTTTCATTTGGATTGACTCATAAGTAAAGTAGAAATTTTACATTCATTAAAAAATTACATTTGTGTTATAATTTATTACTTTGTTAATAATTGTTTTTTTGTTTTGAATACTCAGCTATTTTTGGGTACTTTGAATAAACAATACTTACTTTTATTGTTAGGTATCTCGAGGTTTCCGTGGTTTTCTCGTCGATTTTAAATTTCACCTTTCACTTTTCGTCGATTGATGCTTATGTAGCTATTTTTTAAGTGTTCTACAAAATCATAATAAATGTTCAACTATTCCGCCGTTATTATCCACACAAAGTTGACAGCGGCGTAAAAAATTATGATATGTAGCTCTTTCTATCATATCCGGATGATTTCGGATTTCATCTGCCGCTGCAGTGACAAGCTCGCGGAGTTGTTCTAATTTGTCAACTTCGCTCTGGTACACTAAACTTTTCATATAGCTCCAGAGAAACCACAACCGAACTGTCAGTAATCAATGAACCTGTTTCTTTTTTGCTTGGATAAATAATATCATTGTTTTTAGAAGTAAAAACAATGATGATGTATAGTATAGGTCAGTGACATCTGGTGGCTCCTTGATTTCGTCAAAAAAATTTCATATTTTTTTTATTAAAAAACAAAAACAGTAGCTAATGCAAAAATGATAGTGAAAAAACTTTCTTGTTTTGACGAACAAAAATCCAATAATAATAATAATAATTATAAAATATTGAATTAAAGAAAAAGTTTTTGGTTTGTTTTTGTGTCATATAGTGTCCATACCGTCTATGATGTAGTCCAAATATGTAGTAACTGAGTCATGTAGATTGTAAAATAAGGTCCTCAATTCTCCAGTGGATTTAATATCATCATGTGATATGATTGCTTGCATATAGTAATGCGTATAATGGGCCGCTGTAGGGAACATTATGTACCAGTGGAAGAACTTTAAAATTACCAATTCAAGTTCTTTGTAATCTTTTATTGTGTATCTATTGTTTATATCAGCATTCAATTCGCATATTTTTGGTATGTTCATACTGCTTTCTTCAAATTTTGCTGAAAAAAATCTACATCATAAAGAAAATATTTATTAAATGTATGTTTAATAAAATTTGTATGTTATTTGAGAAAGCTTTCTAAATTAGGTTGTACAAAGTTATTATATTAATTAATTTATTTATTACCTGCCAGTAGCAAACACACATTAGCAACTATTAGGATTCTATCTTGCATTATGGAATGATTATCCATAAATATATCCAATAAATAAATTGACAAATGAAAGCAGCAGTATGTTAGTCTTTTTTTTATACATATTCTCTTTATGTATTCCACTATATCCACTCTATACCCAAACTAAAAAAAAATAACACATTTTTCATTGTAATGCGTTGTCCCACAATGGCACAATAACACGTATTTTATATAAAATTTGCAAAAGTGGGCCCAGGGCGATTATGTAGATGTCAGTTTAATATGAGGCGTCATATGTTCCATAATTATTTTATTCGATATAAAATGTTTTGCAATATATGCGTAAAAATTACTACAGTTTTGCATACATATATGTATATTTAAATATATAAGTTTTATATTTGTTGAAATTTAAAAAAATATATATTAAATTTAGCACCATGCAAAGTTCGATTTAAAACTTTTTTCGTTTGAAAAGCCCCCGTAATAACAGCACAATAAACCCCCGTTATCTAAAAAATACGTGTCCAAATGATGATTTTTTTAAATCGAATTCTTTATTAATGCAACACCATACAGATAAAAAAAATTAAAACAAAATATATGGCAATAATTGAATGCGATAATGAAAGTTATAAGATCATGAAAGACAAATTATTATATGTGAATTGGGCAAGCTGTAGAGTATTTGAATATGTTAAAGTGTTTAGATGTTTTAAATGTGGGGGTTTTTATTATCATGGTAAAACGTGTACTGCGAAAAAAAGATGTCCAAAGTGTACTTCGGTGGATCACGAAACAAAAGATTGTGATAATAATTCGGTAAAATGTTTTAATTGTGTAGAAGTAAACAAAAAACAAGACCTGAAATCCGATGTTAACCACTATATTTTTGATTATAATTGTGCAGTTCTATTAAAGAAAATTGATCCTTTGAACATTATAATATTACATCAAGATATACAATGCATTCCAAACAAAATTGAGCAATTGGAAGTTTTATTGCATAATGAAAATGAAAATTGATATAGTCTGTATGGCCTCCATATATTGTAGAAAAAACTTAAAAAATGGAGGGTTGGTTATATTTCATAAATATAAGTATTCAGATTATATTAATGCAATTAATTTTCAAAATATGTCTATTGATAAAGATGCTGACTTTTGTGGCATTAAAAAAAAACTACCTACTACCACAATAATATTGTTTTCAACTAATTTGTTTATATAGGTCTCCACTGGGAGATATTTTTTGATAAACTGAAATAATTATGAATAAGTCTTGTAGGAAGGGTAATATTTTCTTGAGTGGAGATTTATATATTAATTTTAGTGAGAATAGTGTCCTAAAAAATAATCTAAATTATATATTATGTTCATATAATTTAAAAATGCTTTGCAAATTGCAATGAACCAACTAGATATTGAGCCATTCCATGCCAAATCAACACACTTTAAAAAGAAATTTTTCCTCACCATTTCAGATTTTCCTAAAATTTGGTATACTTGTACTATGTACTGAGACTAAGAAAAATACCAATTTTTAAATTTTTATCTCACACCGTTTCTGATATATGGCTATGTAAAGTTTTTAAAAACTCGCGAAAAAAGTGTGAACGTTTATTTTTTAAATTGCGCTGGAAGCTGCCCTAATTTAGTTAGAAAGCTGGGAGAGGTGTCATTTTGCAGCATTTTAAATGCTCTTTCAAATGACATACGACTGCCAAGGGTATTAATGAAAAGATTTTGTTCAAAATCCATATATATATTTAGATTAAATTTTTTTTTAAAAAGTACATAATTTAAAATTCTCAAAATATTTGTATAAATACTTGGTAGTGTTCTGAATCATATAATAAAATATTAATGTGGGGTCTTAATGGGTTCATTGTTAAAAAAAATATTTCTGATGCTGGTTTTTCACTTTTAACTAATTTTGACATTATTCAACGTTTATCAGGCTTAAGCCTGACAATTGTATTTTTTTTATAATATCGGCTGTCATCATTCCCGACTTGTGCAATTTAATTACTGTGATACGCTTGTTTTGGCGATTCATATTGAACTAAATTTTAAACAAAACAACATAAAATGAATATTTTCAAAAATATAAGGGTTTTAAGAACCCTAATAATATCGGCTGCCTACATTCCCGACTTTTTTAATTCAATTACTGTGATACGCTTTTTTTGGCGATTCATATTGAACTAAATTTTAAACAGAACAACATAAAATGAATATTTTCAGAAATGAAATGGTTCTAGGAACCTGCTCGAGCAAACAATTTCCGCGAAAACCTTATTGATAAATTTTAAACTCGCTTAAAAAAAATTCAGGGAACTTTTATCGGACCCTGTATATATTCGTAGTTTATTTAAAAATAAAACTAAATGAGGTGTGTTTAAAGTGATTTTGGTGTCAACATGGAGCCTACTATTGTAAGAGTGCAGTGTTATAATCCAATGAAAAAAACAAATTATTTTTTTTAACATGAACCCATTAAGACCCCACATTTATATTTTACTATATGGTTTAAAACAGTACTAAGTATTTATACAAATATTTTGAGAATTTTAAATTATGTACTTTTTGAAAAAAAATTGAATCAAAATATATATATGGATTTTGAACAAAATCTTTTCATTAATACCCTTGGCGTTCGTATGTCATTTGAAAGAGCATTTAAAATGCTGCAAAATGACACCTCTCCCAGCTTTCTAGCTGAATTAGGACAGCTTCCAGAGCAATTTAAAAAATACACGTTCACACTTTTTTCGCGAGTTTTTAAAAACTTTACATAGCCATATATCGGAAACGGTGTGAGATAAAAATTTAAAAATTGGTATTTTTCTTAATCTTAGTACATAGTATAAGTATACCAAATTTTAAGAAAATCTGAGGTGGTGTGGTAAAATGGGTGTGTTGAGTTGACATGGACTGACCCTATTATGATACTGGATCATCATGTATTGATTATGTTTGCGTTGGATAATGTTAAATGTCAAGTTATTCCAAATGGCCTTTCTGACCATACTAGTCAACTTATTTCGTTAAATGTTGTAGTTAATAAATCGGACAAAAAATCTAAAATATGTTATACAAATTCTTCAAAATGCATTTCTTAAATAAAAAATGAACATTGGTATGAAGTCTGCACTGCAAGTTCTGTTGATGATGCTTTTAATTAATTTATTAATACTATGAAATATTATATTGATGTTTGTTTTCCAATAAAAAATATAAATTGCAACGTTTCAAAAGGTAATTGGATTACTAAGGTAATTAAAATTTCATCTATATATAACCTTATAAGGTTAAAAGAACTATACAAAATAATGATTCAAGAGAGCAAATGATAAGTTAAATTATAAAAAATATAAATGCTTATACAAGAAAGTTATAGTTTCAGCCAAAAAGATGTACTTTGATAAAATGTTTAGCAGTTCTAATAACACTGTAGGAAATTTTTAACTTTTGAAATATCACAGCTAAACGCTCGGACACGTAAACATAATTTTTTGGTAGTAGATTCCAAATCCGTGCTCGGTTTAGCTGTATCAGGTCTAAAAAAGTTTTTCCTATTCGAAATCCGATCCTGGGACACTGTATACTGGTATATTATAATTTGTAAAATAATAAATTTCACCTCTTGTGCCAACATTTCTATGCTTTTTATTTCATTTATTATAATATCCTCAATTATACTCAATAAAAAAAAGGCAGAGAAAAAACATTTTAAATTTCCTAGATTATCTAAGAAAAACCCTTAGGGACACGTGTTTCTTTTGATCAATTAATTAACTTCAAATTTTGCAAGAATTTGTTATTTTTTTAATTTGGAACTGATGTGTGGGTCCAGCCAAATTTAATATTTTTTTAAATTTATTCAGGGTGTTTTAATTTATACAGGGTGTTTCCAATATCTTTGTATTTTGACCTGATACAGCTAAACCAAGCACGGATTTGTAATCTACGACGTTATAAATTATACCACACGCAGTGCAAAAAATGTAAACAACAATATAAAAAAACATAACTATAAATAACTTAGCAGAAACGGATTTAAAATAAATAAAAATTATTTTAATGAATATTAACCAAAAATATTAAATAAGAAATTTGTAGACAAAATAGATTATTATAAAATTAATAACAATAAATACCCCACTATGTTCTGCAGACCGGTATCTTATTCAGTAGTATTCAATATAATTATAAATTTTAAAAGAAATAATTCTTCAGGTATGGATTGCATTACCTCAAACATTTTGTGCCCATTTTATCAACTATATTTCCAAAATATTAAAAAAGGCTATGTTTAATCAAATGTACATAGCCCTTTCTAATATTTTGGAAATAGTTGATAAAATGGGCACTGGGTGATAGTTGCAAACATTTGATTTATTACTTTTTGTAAGGCTATTACTTTTGAAAATTTTAATATTTAAAGAAAAATTCCATTTGAAATTTGCAAGTTAATTAAAAAAGATTAAGGTTCAATAATAGAATCTAAGCAAAGATACGTCGAAAGCTTATTAATTTCCTTGCACACAATCTACTCTATCGGCTAGCGCCTCGGCAGTGAAATGTATGCAACAATGGCCCTTTTTATTAAAAATAAAACATTAATTCGTTTATTATTATTTTTCTCGAAAACGGTTCATTTTATTGAAAATAAGGTTCAAGCTACACAGGTTTAGTTTTCCAGACTCAGTGCGCCCCTTGTAAACAAAAAAAGCAAATAACACTATTTTAAGAGATCCTTACCAGGGTACATCATATTCAATTTTTATGTCTCCGTTAGGAGGGCCAGAAGAAATTTTTTTATAAGAACGTGCATCTTATTTTTTTATATTCTATCTGAATCCGAAATATTTCCCACATTTTCCCGGACACTGTATACAGTGTACATATATATATATATTCCAATATTTCAAAGAAGAATGGGAACGAAATTTGGGTGATTTTGAAAAAAATCGACAATTTTTAAAAACTATTTAGTTAAAATTGTTAAATATACGAAAGTGAATTCGGAACCTCATTTTTATATGAGTTCAGTACACGGCATTTTCGAAAGTTTTATTAGCACCAAGTGTAATTTTTCTTACACCTATAAAAATTGCCGCAGTCAGCAAAATCTTTGAAAAAAGTCGTCATTTTATTAAACCTTCACTACGTCCCTGTTTCCGCGGAATAACGCATTACGCCCAATAACAACATATTATATAACTATATATCTTTAAGTTGACTGATTTCAAGCATTACTTGTTCTTCTGACAAAACTATCTACTATATAAATTTGCGTATTTTAAAACTGAAACTGTTGATCAATATATATTAAAATATGTGTTGATCAACTACATAATATGTAATTAAACTTAATTCGCGAGAACGAGCCTTTATAGAGTATTTTAGGTCTTAAATTATTACATTGATGCGGGCTTCTATTACATACAAATAATTGAAATGATCTCACCAGAAGTATTTGTGTATTTTAAAATACCTGTGGTGATTGATGTAAAAATGGTATTCTATGTTTCTCCCTTTGCTTAATGACTTGTTTATAACCATCTTTGTATTCTTTTATATCATCCCAGGCCTCTCTTTGCAACTAAAATTAAAATATTATGACATATCATAATTATATGTCTATTATAACTTACATAGAATACAGAATCTTTATTCATAAGACACCTCATTTTAACATATTAATAAATGAAGTTAAAGTTAGTTGTTTACTTTTTTATCCTACAGGGTGTGTTTTTATCGCACTTTTTATTATTTTATAAATAAAGTATACAGTGTGTCTACTATAATTAAAATTTTATTTTAGAGCATATAAGATGGCCAGGCAAATAAATGACAAAGGATTTCATCCGGATCAATTGCCTGCTTTAAAACCGCACACCAAAATGTTGCTGAGAATGGTAATAGTTATAAAAAAGAAAGCTAGTAACAGGGTTCACATTTTGATCAGCGAGAAAAATTCATGGCACTTACCAACTTGTGAAATACATTCGATGAAAAATATACATTCCTCTATTAGAAAATTTATGGTTGATTTGTTTGGAGCCGAAGTTCCAACTCACAAGTTAAGCGGTGTTTTGTCGGTAAGTAAAAGAAATTTACCAATGCTTAATAGTCTACAGGGTGCACCAAGTATCCTTCTATGTATGGGTATCTTTTTTCTTTAGAGAGCTACAAGGTTGATTAAATTAGAGAAAAGTTGCATAATTACTAGTATATTAAAATGAGGTTTAAACATTTAACATTGAACACGCAACTTTTCTCTTATTTAACAGACCTTGTAGCTTTTTAAATAAAAAGAGGGTTCAACATGGGTTCACGGAACCCATATTAAACCCTCTTATAAAGTTTTTAATTAATTGTTTCGAATTATCGTCCTTCAATTTAAGGTTTGCAACAATACGTTATATTATTTTTTTATGGTCCTTTTTATTAAAAAATAAAACATGAATTTGTTTATTATTCTTTTTCTCGAAAATGGTTCATTTTATTGACAATAAACAAGAGTACCTTTATTTTAGTTTAAGGTTCAAGCTATGCAGATTTAGTTTTTTTAAGTCTTTGTCATACAGGGTGTAAGGATGGCCAGTAGGAAAAAAACTTATAGGAACGTGTCATCTTATTTTTTCATGTTCTATCTGAATCCGAGAGATTTCCCACATTTTCCCGGACACCCTGTATAGGTAATATAGGAATATTGAAAAGTAAAAAAATACTAAAAATAGTATTGCAGTTCTGACCAATAAAATATGAAAAAAAAACAGGCAAAACAAAATTAACATTTTTAAGTGAGCCTAAATATATCGTTTTTAAAAATACAGGCTCTGGAGTTGCTACAATTATATTTATTAGTGCCACCCCATTGACATCTGTCCAACCATCTAAAATAATTGTCATATTATCAGTTTCTTGTACAGTCGTATGTAAATAAAAAGCGTACACGTATTAAAATGAGAGGTACTTTATTTGTCAAATGACAAAAAAATAGGTTATAAAAATGCAAAGCAGTGGCGTTGTGTAATACCTTAAAAAACTCTAAGAAAAGTTTTTTCGATAAGCAAACAAAAAATACATATATTGACAAAACATTTAACTACATAACACAGAATTAATGGCAATCTAATATTTTTCCAATCTATTAGGAATTGATTGAATAATATTTGACACAATATTTGGATCAAGTTCTTCCCAGCACCCATGGATTTTTTCAAATAATTCTTTAGCATTTTGTGGTCCAAAATTGTAATTATATATTTTTTTACAATAATTTCCCAAATATTTTCGATAGGATTTATATCAGGACTATAACTGGCCCAGGGCAGCAGTTCCACATTATTGGTTTGAAACCATTGGGTAACAGCGCTAGCAGGGTAGAAATATGTTTTCTAACGTAATTTTCTGCATTAAATCTGTTCTCTAGAGATGGCAAGTTTGATTCCGATTCGTTCAAAAAGAATGAATCATTTAAATAAATCGATTCAGAGTTTTTAAAAGAATCAATTCATTTTTGAATAACGGTGAGCAAACTGAAAAGTGAATCATACTACATAAGTGGGTTAGTATACTGTAGTTCAAATCTGGTATTTGCTGGACGATATACACGTATTTGGCCATTGTAATTCGACTGGAAGGTCTTTTCGTCAGTAAAAATATCAAAAATCGTGCTTTTATTTCTATTGAAAAACTCCGCTACGATACGGATTCAATTTTTGTAATTATGAGTTTTTCCAAATTCAGATAACTGACGAGGCATTATTCAATTAGGTATCAAACTGACGGCTGGTTTACATCTACGGCACTGTATTTTTTTATACCCTAACTCGCCATATTTGAAAAGTGCAGTACCTCTCATTCTAAGGCTGTACGCTTTTTATTTGCATATGTATTCTATCTTCAACTACTTTTTGGATTCTAGCATATTCAGAGTTAAGCAATGTTGTACTTAATTTATTAATTGTATGACTTTTGACAACTGTCAACTAACCTAAAACTACCTTCAGCACGTGACTAAAACGCCATAAAGCCACAGCCTGTCAATGTGTATTTAAAAGGTCCCTTAGTGTCATAGAAACATGTACGATAATGAGCGTTTTAAAGGTAGGAGTAGAAAATAGTATATTATGTGTCAAGTTTGATAAACGCCATTTTAGACACGAATTTATTTTAGGCACATGCACAGCGAGCTTGCGAGTCCGAGCCGGACTTTAAAAGTTATATCTAGTTTACTGCCGGCGAAATTAAAAGTTCAGTACAATGTTTATATAAACTTTTCAAATATTGGCGTTGAGAAACTATTTAATGCTTTTGTATTGAGATAATAAAATAATTTTCACATTTAGTATTATTTTAGAAGGGCACTTTATTTTAAAGAGTGTATGACATTTAACAATTGTCAACTAACTTAAAGCCCGTGACTAAAAACCTGTTGCTAACTTCAGCCCGTGACTAAAACGCCGTAAAGCCACAACTTGTCAATGTGTATTTAAAAGGTCACTTAGTGTCATGGAAACATGTACGGTAATGGGCGTTTTAAAGGTGCGAGTAGAAAAATATACTTAGATAATAACTGTTGTAGTAATAATATATCATTAATTTTATTAAATACACACAGAAAGACGGGTTTTTAACACATCGTTGACAATGTCAACTTTACATGAGAATTAAAAGAGTTGCCAATGGTTTAAAATAAAAAAATCCCTAATTTTGATGCTTCTGATAAGCTCTTAGTAGCACTGTAAACGATGCGTTTAAGAACTCTTATAATAATCGAAATAGACAACAGTATATTATTTAAATGGCGAAGAAAACGCTTATATTATAGCTGAGCTCAGTGTCCGCTGCTGAGGCGCTAGCTAAGGCTGCAGATCTGAGCAAGGCAGTTAATATGCTTTCTTCACTGTGTTCTACTATGCTTTACACCCAAATTTACCTTCTTGACATTTGAATACAAATAATTGAGTTTATCAGAAAGTCAACGCAAATTTCGTCTTAATTTCTGAAAATATATAATAATAATAAAAGGTAATATATGTATTTTTTTTGTATAATTTAGACCACGGTATTATAAACCTCTGAAAAACTGGGAAACGGAAAATGTCAGAGTATGTTGGGGAAATTTTTTCAGAGGCGGGGAATTATTACTAAATAAATACAATACATTTTTGCAAAAAATAACAAACAAATAAAGAAAACTTTCAGGAAAGGTAAAATCTTTAGCAAAAGGTGGTGAAAATATTTTGACATTTCGCACATAATGGTTTTGACAATACAACTCACAAACACAAGTGTGTGCACGAATATTTTGCGCATCAGTATTACCTCTCCACTTGGTCTTTTTATAACTTTTATAGCGTTATAGATATACCTAAAATTTAACGTTGAAGAACTTTGTTTATAATATATTTGGCCAGTGTTTCTCAACCTGTGGTCCACAAACAGTTCCATAGGAAATCATATAAAATAAACCTATTATTTATCCTTAATAATTTTTATTTATTGTAAACACGACATTAATTAACAGTACGTATATTTTTTGTTAATGGATTAATCACTTTTTGTTGAATTTGGTGGTCCGCGGGAAGCGAAGAATTTTTTCGTAATGGTCCGTAACTATCGAAAGTTTGAGAATCAATGGTCTAGGCTATAAAATAAAGAATATATTTTTAAAATCCATTAATAATTGAGGGGTCTAGTATCAAATCGTACTAGCCATCTCCACTTTTTATGAAAATTTTAATAAAACATGTTGCTGTATAGAATTTTAAGGCAAAGAGGGGTATTTTTATTTAGTTTTTAAACGTATAACTTCCCTTAGTATTTTGCACTTAAATATTGGGTTTGGTTTCAAACCGTACAATGTCCTCTGACAACTTGGGATCAAAACGTACAATCTCCAAACAGCCCACAGGAAGCATGATTTGGCCAAATGTATGTTTTTAATATTATTTTAACAATTCTGGGACATTCAAGAAATCAAAAAATTGGTACTTATAAAGAAACCTACAGAATATCTTAAGATTTTTTCAAAATTTGCTAGTGTTGAAGCTTGGAGGAGAAATTTAGAATTTGTGCTAAAGTTATTAAACCAACTAGTGGCGTTTCTTTGTGCTTGGTCTAAAATAATTATAACCACAAAACATTTTGGGCAAATAATTCAGGGCACAGAGAAGGTATGTACAAAATTGACCTAGAAAGTGATTACTTAGCAAAAAGACGCAAAAAATACAACATATTTGTCACAGGATTAATGCGAAACAAAATAGAATTAAAGAATAAATAGAGGACAACTAACATAAATTTGAAATTTTACAAATTTGTTCTAGATAAAACCAAAATAGTTATTTACCTACCAAAACTGTTGCAACCAGAACAAATTTTTAAAATTTCAAATCTTAGTTAACTGGTGCGGAAAGTACAGTTTTTCCGCTCGCGACTGCCGTTGAACAAACGACGCCTAGTGGAGTTCGGTCATCAGTCTAGTGCGGAAATAGTATACTATGCGACGAGTGGAATCTTCTCTTTTAACCAATAGACGCACACAGTATTTTATTCAACTACCACAAGGAATTTAAAGCCAATTTTATTTGACAGCTGTCAAGCAGTTTTTAATTCACTTTTTTTCAATTTTAACTTCAAGCTAACTTCAGCCCGTGGGCGAAATGCTATTTCTTCCACTAGTAAGAGAAGTAAAATTTCACCCACCAGTTAAAGAAATGGGTGTTGAATAAAAAAAACTTTCCGCGCGTGTTAGATACAGTATTTTTCCTACAAGTACATAATATAAGGGAATCTCGCAGTTTTCTTCATCAGTTTTCATTTGAAAAAAGAAAATATAGGAAAAAAAAACCTTTGCTAACATTTTGACCAAGAACCAAGCTTTAGAATCCACAAAAATATGACATGTAATTTACATTATGTAAACAATAAAATATAAACATGTTGATGTAATGTTATTTTAAAAACTTTATAATCCAAAGTTCAGTTTTAAAACGTAGTCTCCAAACATTTTTTTGTAAACTAGCTTAACATATTTCTTTAATTTTTTATCTTAGTAATATTATTATTATTTTATTAATTATTGTTTTTATAAATAAACTAATAGCACAAAAAGACTCACTTTACAGCCTTATGACATTAATAACTATGAACTTGGTAGAACACCAGGCAGCATTTTAAGTAAAATCGTCGAGCATTCCAGTTTATTACTTAATTTAAGTAAATATGTAGTTAATTTAACCTTACTGTCATTCAAGTAAAAAATCTGGCCCAGTTATATAATTAGTTTTTATAGTTTTACAAGTATTTTAATGATGTTTATTTTAAGGGATTTTTAATGGTAAATTTAACGTAAATATTTTCACTCTAAACTAAATTTTACTCATAAGTTATATTTTTATTAAGTATATTAAACATTATAACCGTGAAGTGGTTTAAGTGGTATAAAAAACTGTTAATATTGTAAAAGAAAAATTAACTTTAGGTGAAAAATAAAACTAAAAGGGTAATATTTCTGAAAGATATTTTAAATTAATTAATTAAAGATGTTAACCAATATTTAAAAAAATTTAAATAATCATTTTTTACAGATATTTTAGAAAAAAGTAATATATAGGTAATATTTTCAAATTAAATGTTTTTTAAGGCTTTATAAATTTTTTACATTTTTTATTTTTAGTCTTTAATTTATTTTAAACTAGAATATTTAGAGAGCGTAGAGTTTTAATGATAATGATATAATTAGTTTTGTTTAAAAGTAAAGTTTATTCTATGGTAAAATTTATAACATCCATTAGGTAGTTATTTTAACTTAAAGTGCTGCTTGTGACAAGTTTATAAATCAAATTTTTTAGCAAAAATAACAATTGTTAATTACAATGTTAAATTATAGGTGGAGCATGATCCTCAAAATGACAATGATGGTTTATGTTTGACAATGTTGGTGGCGTTTAGGAATCCTCTTGAGGAAGTACCGATTATTGGAAAATGCGTTTGGCATGAAACTTCAAAACCTTTGGGAGATGATTTATTGAAAAGGCTAGCTACAAAAAATTCCACGATTTTACTTCATGTTTATCGCTAAATATGTTTGCACTGTATATATAAATATGTATTAAATTGTACAAATGTATTAACTAACGTATTATCGGCTACAGTATTTTTACTATAATGTTTAACACTATTCCATGACAATGTTTATATCAATTAAAGTTTGCAACTTAAATTATATACTCAACTAATACAATACAATTTTAATGTAAATATAGTTAGGTATACAAATCTCTTTATAATATTTATTAATTTTAACAATGTTATTGTTTATATTTTTGGTAAAGGTTTTTTATTTTATCAATAAATTTATAATCCGTTATAATAAATTTTTAATTTAACAAAAATATCCTTTATTAATAAAAATAAAAAACACCCAAAAAGCAATGAAAAAAAATGTAAAAAATACAATATTTTATTGATGAATGAGCTATTTATACCACTTAAAATAAAATAATATATAAAAATTATCACACAAAATATTAATAATTTAAGACAGTAAATTTAAAAATTATTAAATCAAGTATTATTTAATAACTTTAACAAGTGCGACAGGGGCTGTCTTGGGCAGTATATTGATTTCCTGACCTTATATTATTCAACATTGACTCAAACGGATCCTTTGACATTCGCTGCTGATTGGCTTCAACAACTGCGTTTATATCTGTGACTATACGTGGATTATTGGAATCATCCTAAAAAAAAGATAAGATTAGATGGGTAAAAAATACGTGACATCGTTTTCAGGTCATAAAATAAATATACATTTTCACTAACTTTAGCAGCTAAATGCAGCATCTTTGGATATATTACCTCTTTAGCAGGAGACCACAACTTAACAACAGGATCAATTCCACTGGATGCAATTAAACAGGCACTAGGGTGGGGTTGTATACAATTAACGATGGACACGTCCCCTATTAGGGCTGTTACAATGGAGGACGTTTTTCTGTCCCAAACAAAAATTAGGCCTTCATCCGATCCAGCGCATATAAAACTGCCGTCGTCTCCCAAAAAATTCGCCTCCTTTATATCGGTAGTCGTATTACAGTGGCCGATAAACCTTGCCTCGTAATCTCTAGAATCTAGTCTTATATTTGTTTCGTGTTTTTCGATCTTTTTCATGTATTCTTCCTCAAATTCGTTTTCTTGGGGGACTGTATTCAAGGCAACAATCATTTCTCGCATCGATTTAGCGACAGGCGAATTTGGGTGCTCCGCACAGAAATAATCCAGCCATCTTGTTGCTTCATCAGGCCATTTTAGTGCAATAAAACATTTTATAAGACCCACATAAGCTTGTTTATGACCCGGCCAACATTGAATAACGTAAAGGTAATCTCTTGCAGCGCTGTATAAGTCGCCCATCCTAAAAGTAAATAATAATTTGATATAACAGGACAATTTAAGGATTTTTGTTCAACAATTTAAGGCGCCTTGAAGATAAAATGTTTAAAATGTCTTTTTGTGCTGAGCTCAAAGTTTTAATGCCGACGCGTAGCTATATGTACCTACCATTTCTGCTTTATTAAGTCTTATTAGGTCTTCCAGAAGACTACCAAATCTTGCTATTACTCTGACTTAATAAGTCTTATTCTGACTTTTTTCTGCTTTTTTTGCTGAATAAGTCTTATTCAGAGTTTTTAAGAGAAAGTAACACTTAAAAGTCTTCTTTTTACTTATTAAAACATTCAGAGAAAAATTTCTACATTACTCAGGGTAAAAAAACAGATGAATTATAAGAAAACAAATGATATTTTAAAAGAAACCCAAAATAAAACAGGATTAATGCCTAATTTATTAAAAGAGAATGCATCGCAACGGTGAGAATAATAATCCTTTAAGAACTAATGAAACTTCAAGCATAATAATAAAAAATGTTTTAATTGAAAAACAATTTAGGTGCCTTGAAAAGATCAAGTTACCACACAAGCAGGTAGACAATTATTTTTTTAAAACCCATGATCCAATAAAAATATTACCAACACCTACTGACGATGAACCTGTATGAAATCAACATCTTTAGGAGCCATTTTTTACGGTAATTGTAAAAAACCTAAGACCTACTAAAATAATTAAAGATTCCCTGCCAGTGGCAATCTGCCACCTAGGCTTGACAAAGATATTTAAGTGCGTAAATCTGACAACTCAACAACTTAATTCATATGCAGCAGAACTTAAGAAACCTGAAGGAGATAGATAGAACTGTAACACATGTGAGAGTGAGGTTATGGTTCAAATTCCAAACTCAAATAATACAAGTGAAATAACTCTAAATGACAGCTACAAAATCTACTATTAATTTAATTTTGAATTGTAATTAATAGCAGTATTATTCAGGGTTACGCAAAATAAAATATAATCTAAGAATATATAATGTTGTAGTTGTGGCACTCGAAAAACTGATTTTATGTGTCAAGTTTCACAAAATTCATAAAAATGCCAATATCTTAAAAACTAATGATTTTTTACTAAGGTCATGTTTTGATATTCTGATTAGTCATGAGTTGACCTATTAGTCCTTCCTAGAATACAATAGTTATCATTCATGTAGAGACCACAGTAGAGGAACTCCACCACCTCCAATCTACATAAAAAGTAAATTTACATCTGAATCACTGCTCAATGAAATTCATTGAATGAATGTATCAATAATAACAATTACCTAATAATCAAGTTACCCAATGAGAAAATCAATATTGGTGGAATATATAATCAGCACAGCTCATGCAAAAATGCCTTCCAGAAACAGCTCCAGCAGCTAATTGAAACACATAAAAACACATTGTTTATTGGTGACACTAATATTGGAAAACAATAACATAACCTCGGAATACTTGGAAATAATTTCCAGCAATGGCTTCAAGATAATGAATACAATAAATAAGGACTTTCCTACTAGGACTGATTCAAGAACATCAGCTAAATCAATAATAGACCATGTTATTTCAGATAACTTTTAGAATATAACATTATTCTGGAGGATAACCCGATATCAGATCATAAAATAATTCGCTGTGAGGCACGCTAACGTGCCGCGATTCGAAATGTTAAAGGCAAGTTAGTTACGTCATAATAATAATCCGTTTTTGTTCCCCGAGCGTTTTAAATTTGATGTCAAGCTGGATAGCTCAGATGGTAGGGAGGTCGCACAGCATGCGAGAGGTACCGTGTTCGATACTCAGAACTTGTCGAACTTTTTTTATTTTTTTATTTCATAAATTTGTTGATTCTTTGTTAAAAAGTTTTGGGTTGGGTTGGTTGGTTTGTTTCAGTTTTATCGTAACATAAAAGCTATTTGAAGTTGTCGAACTTTTTTTATTTTTTTTATTTCATAAATTTGTTGTTTCTTTGTTAAAAAGTGTTGGGTTGGGTTGGTTGGTTTGTTTTAGTTTTATCGTAATAGTCAAGCAGTTTACTACAACCGAAAAAAAGAGTTCATCGAGCAACAGTCACAGGTGGAAATAATGAAATTAATGTATTATTAGCAACGGCCGCTAATCCTCATACAAGCACACGAGAATTATCTAGAGATTTGGGAATATCCCAGAGCAGTCCTAGAAAATTTAAAAAATAAAACCAAGTATTTTATTAAAAAATTATTGGAGAATTGTATACAAAAGAAAAATCGAACAAAATTTTTTTCATTACAGCGCCATCTATTACAAATATGAAAAAATGTTTTAGATAAAATCTACCTATTTTTAGTCGAATGATCCGAATCTATAAAAAAATAGGGGAACAGGGGTCCCTTATAAGGAGAGTATGAGGACCAATTTTAGTACTGCTTGATTTCCCCCTCGAATCATTTAATTTTTATTTTAAACATTTTTTCGTAAAATGCATACTAACTGAGAGTTAAATGATCACCCTGTAAAAAAACTAATTAAAAAACGTTTTTTAGTATGAATATTTATCTTGTTAAGAGTATTTTTGGTGTACAAATTCACTTGACTTGGAAATAAAAGTACTCTAAAATTTGGAAATATTAAAGTTCCCAATGTATTAAAACGTTAGTTAATTTATTAGTAGATCTATTACTTTAGTAATAATTTACATATTTATATTGTTTTTTTTAAATAAAATATCAATTTATTTTCTAGGAGCAGCTACAACATGCTTAGGAAAAGATAGTGATAGAATTGACCATTTAAAAAAAGAAATGTTGAAAGTTTTACGAACTGTCAAACTAGGGCAAATATGAGGAGATCGTCTGGTTGGACCCATTTTTCTTGATGTTAAACTGACAGGAAAAATGTATTTGGAATTATTAAAATATATAGTTAATTCCTTACTGGTCGATATTGTTGAAAACAATGACTGCTACTTGGAAGACCATTTAATGTATCCACACTATGTATGCGCGTAAGAGAGTTTTTGTAGCGAGTGTTTCCTAGACAATGGATTGGATGAAGAGAAGCTCTAAAATGGCCGGCCTGATTTCCAGATTTTACTCCTCCAGACTTTTTCTGTAGGGCCATTTAAAAAGTAAAATTTACGCAATATCCGGGTAAAAGACCAACAACGTATCGTGGATGAATAACTCCCAAAATACTTCAAAATGTTAGATTTTTAAACAAAATTTGTATTTTGTATGGAAGTTGGTGGCAAACATTTTGAGCACTTATAGATTAATAAACATTGTTTTAATGTTCTACTACTTTTATTGTTTATCTGCGAAAAATTGCTTGTATGTTTTTTACGAAGTGTCCTATTGTAAGCCAGTCCTTTTAAATAAGTTTTCATTTGCCCTATTATGCCATTTAAAAACAGGGGTGGTACGCAGAGGGGTAAAGCGTTTTGCAAATAAAATCTAATGCAAAATATGTTTCATTTAAATTGAGTTAGTTAATATGTCTGTTTACTGTCCAAAAACTTCGGTTTCGATTTTATTGGTCAACCTTGTATACCGTACCTTCATTTGCAAGCTAACCATAGGGAAAATACATTGTAACTGGACCAGATAAGTCTTAGTCAGCACGAAGCGAAAAACGTTGTAGAAATTATTTGGACGCGTGGACGAGTAGGCTAGCATGCGCCGTAACAGTTGACCTTGCTTCATACATCGATGCTTATTATTGTTTTTTATTTTGTGCGGTGTAAATCTGGTAAAATTTGTTTTAGTACGCATGTCTCCACGACGCATCCAAATCATTTCTGAAAAGGTTCTCGCTTTGTGTTGACTGCGACTTATCTGGTCCAGTTACAATGTATTTTCCCTATGGTTAGCTTGCAAATGAAGGTACGGTATATTTATTTACCTTATAAAAAACACTTAATTTTCAATCTTAAAGTAAAAAATGATGAAGGTGCTTGGGATGGTGTTATTAAACATTACTAAAATAAGTTACCATAAATATAGTGAACAGGATACTTTTGAGTTTTATTAAAGGTTAATAAAAATTATACAACTTACCATCTTCTTTGATAACATTGAAATGCTTTTCTCATGTAAAAGCAGGCACAAGTTTTATCCTTGAATCCATTTATTTTAGATTCTTTTATATTGGGATGGTTTTCATCCTATAATTTGTTGTTACATAATTATTAGGACAAATTTGGCCAATTTTAGGAGACAACAAAGTAAAGCAATTTTTTTGAATTCATATATGATTTTTTATGGAAAAAACAGAAAAACATGACAACCTACCCCCCAAAGTCATGTCAGTCAGATTTTTTTTAACTTTCTGTTTTTTCCACTTCTAAATATTTTTGTATGAAGATGGTAAAAAGTTGAAGAAAAAGCTTTATCCTTGTAATCTGGAATTCATCAAAAGTAGACATTGTAAAAAACTTACATGGCAACAGCATTTGTATGATTCAGTCTTTGTATTCTTAGTAGAGAATTGAGGTACTTGTAGCTCATTAATGTGTCGTGAATTGTTTACATCAAAAAGATAAATTTGCTCGCCACCAATGTTAACCAGCATTTCTGAGCCAGCTGAATTAAATGAAACATAAGTGGCAACAAATTTGAGATTATTTATGGTGGCGTTGTCTTTTGCAAGATGTCCAGGCGCATAGAATTGAACACAATTTGGATCAGTAGGTTCCTTAGTCAAACCAGACATATGCCTATCTATGTCTATCTGAAAAAATATCTTTGATTTGTCATTTTGTAAAAAATATAGGTTTATGATTCAGATTTCGTAAAAATGAACTTGTTAAAAATACGTAAGGCGTACCTAGGGATTTAAAGTGTCGAAAAATTGGAAAAAACCTGTTTTTTCCGTTTTCCCAGGCATTGGAAAAATTGTCTTTTTTGGGAAAAATATTTTTTTTGGAAATATACACATTTAAAAAAACATTATTTTAATAAAAAAAATATCCTTACAGAAAAAACCTAAACATTGAATTAAATTGATTTAAGAAAATAAACGTAAACGTTAAATATACTGTCGGTTGCGTGTTTTTTGCAAAATAATGAATGATTTATAAAGTTATTAAATTGCAAAATAATAATTTTATAAATTGATGTGTCAAATAAAAAAAACTTATGTTAAAACCGCACCGAACATGTTTTTATGCGACCCGGTAAAATATTCTTACTGAATTAAAATAAGAGGAATAATTATTATAATCATAATATGATTATATTCAGCGAAAAAAATTCACTTTTTTCTTGATATCAGTGTCTGGATAGGATCTGTAAAAATTTAAAATTTTAAAACCCTAGGCATACCTCGTTTTACTGCTAAGCAAAAATGTGTTAAATACAATATTAAGTAATATAGGTAACACTTGAAACGAGATTCACCTTTACGTATTTTCAACAGCGATATGGACTTTTTAAAGCGCATGCGCAGGGTTAGTGCTAATACGACACATGTCAGAAAATTGGGTTGGTAGAAATTCATAATATAATTATTAAATAAAAAGTAATAAGTGCTCCCAAAAAATTTACTTGTTTTCCTTCTACAGGGTGCACTTAGTATTCTTCCATGGATGGGTATCTTTTTTATTTAAAGAAATACAAGGTCCGTTATCTTAAAGAAAAGTTGCGTTATTACAAGTCTATTAAAATGGCATTGCTAAATTGGAAAATAAATAAAACTGAAAAATCTGTCAAAACTAATAATCGTTATAACTGAGAATTTTGAAAAAAGTTGGTTTCAAATGTAAACAAACACAGTTATCTAAATTTTCATTCATTTTGTGATTTTTTCGACTACTAAATTCTGAGTTACCTGTTTTTTCTATGGCCACCATACCACACTGACATCTGCTGACGTTTAAGTGACGATACTAACGTCATTAAACGTCAGCAGACATCAGTGTGCTACCTGGGATATTGAAATTTTATATGGTGTATGTACATAAGTAATGGCGGCCAACAAAATATAGTAGCGAAGAAATTGGATAAAAATGTAGAAGAGGTGTATGTTGACAAGTAAAAAGGATTTTTGGTTTGGAGAAATATTTTGAGAACCGCTGGCTTTTTTTGTAATTTATAAATTTTATTTTAATAGGCTTGTAATAACGCAACTTTTCTCTAATTAAACCGACCGTTGTAGGTAGCTCTTCAAATAAAAAAATACCCATAGAAGTATTATTCTGTGTATAATACACATAGAAGGATAATTGGTGCACCCTGTATATTTGCAAAATTTGGGTACGAATTTGGGTCGAAAAATCATTTTTTAGAGCAGCACTTTAGAGTCTTCAGTGTAAATCAAGATTTTATGATATATTATTTTTTTATATTATGTCACAAAAATGTTGACAAGAATATCACTTTTAGGCAAGTCAAAATTACTGCAGACAAAAATTAAAATAAAATATAAAAATTTTCAAAATTCATAGGAATTTTTGTACTTTACTATAAACACAACAGTAAAATATTTAAAGTTAAAATAATATTATTAAAATAATATAATATAATTATATTAAAAATAAACACAATTTAAAACGTAAATCCAACATTCCTATCTGAATTTAAATGAAATTTATGTAAGTAATATAAATAAATACATACTGTGTTCAATGGAAATGGTTTAATTTTCCTTCTATCATACATACGAATATAACAATCGTTTGCTCCAACAGCTATATAATGTGGTTTTGTGGGATTTACAGCAATGCATTTTACTTCACCACATTTTATATCTACAAGAACTTTACTTTGTACACGACATTCATGGGGCTCTCTTAAATCATATTGCCTAAAATACATAGGAATAATAAGTTCAGTAACTTTAACCTTTTTTTAAAGGAAATTTAAAACGTTCTTAAGATAATATTATATAATGTTTTATTTGCTAAAATTTTAAAAGTTCTTAGGATAGGTTATAGCCAGGGCCGGCTTCAGAACACGCAAACATTGAAGGGCGGCAATTGTACTTTATAATTGAATAATCTTTGTTTTAGGGTAATTTGTTATTTTTTTACATTGTTAATATAATAAAAATATGTTTTTCGAAATTTACATTTAATTGTATAATTATCCTACCTTTTTCCAAATAAGTTAAAACAAATTTAAAAATTCCAGCAACTTTAAATCTAGGCATTAAAGTGTCTTCTAAGGAAGTTTTAACCATATATATATATTAGGGTGGCCCAAAAAAAAAAAGAATATTTTTTTTACTCTTCTCTTATAAAAATATGTTAGTTTATCATGCTGTAAGAGCCCTGTCAAAATATCAGCTCGATTAAAAAAATTTTAGGGGTCGCTCAAGATTTTTTAAAATTTTCAAAATCGTCAAAAATTGAATTTTTGTTTTATTTTAATTTTTTTTCTCGTCTCGATATTATTTTTTTGGTTGAAAATAATAAAAATTTTCTAAATTTCAAATCAATATTTTGATTTCTAAAGGTCGCTAAAAGTTCGTTGATATTTATATTCAGAGGTCGCTCAAAAACATTCAAAATACTCTACTTTGAAAGTTAAAAAAATCTTGAGCGACCTTTAGAAATCAAAATATCGATTTGAAATTTTCAGAATCATTATTATTTTTAAATTAAAAAATAATATCGGAACGAGAAAAAAAATTAAAATAAAAAAAAATCCAATTTTTGACGATTTTGGAAATTTTTAAAAATCTTGAGCGACCCCTAAAAATTTTTTAATGGAGCTGATCTTTTGACAGGGCTCTTAAAACATTACAAACCAACATATTTTCACAAGAGACAAGAGAAAAAAAATATTCTTTTTTTTTTGGGCCACCCTAATATATATATACATATATATATATATATATATATATATATACAGGGTGGTCCAGGATTAATCTGAAAAATTTTAATGATCGATAGAGCCTGAAAAAACAATAAAAACAAACCCAAAAACATTTTTCAAAAATGCATACTAACGGAGATATAGTCCTTCAAAATAATTTTTAAACCATTAAACCGATTCTTCTCAAATTTGGTGTAGGTTAAGCTTCCGTCGATAATATAATGAAAATTTTCTACAAAAGGCCCAGTGGCGGAGATTTTGGGAGGGGTTTCCCCTTTTTACCCTCATATTTTCGACGCCACTGGATTTTATTAGAAAATCATCAGATTTATTTTTATCCTTTTTCAATCTAAAAGCAAAACTTTTATGTTTATTTTTTATCAGATCAACGGAGATATTTCAGTTTAAAATTTCAAAAACACTGTGTACACGGAACTTTTGTTATTATTTTAGTAATAAAAAATTATTTTTTTTTCTGAACGATTGTATTGGGCCAATAAAAATTTACCAATGAAATTATGGAATAATCACTTTCAATAGGGTGGTTTTTGGGTTGGTTTGATTTTGTATTATAATACAATTAAATTATTAATTACAGACGTTGATTGTAATCCTCAATCAACGTTACAATAAAAAACCTAAAAATATGACGGGATCAGTAACAACTGCACGATGACTCCTGGACGCTAGTTTATTTTTATAATATTTTATAAACTGATAACGTGGCATAATTGTTACCAAGTTACCTATTTAAAATAAAATATGATAAAATTCCGTGTACTCGGTGTTTTTGAAATTTTAAAGTCTCTCTTATGAAAATTTAACACACAAGTTTTGCTTCTAAATTGAATAAGAAATCTGATGATTTTCCAATAAAATCCAGTGGTGTCGAAATATGGGGGTAAAAAGGGGAAACCCCCACAAAATATCCGCCGCTGGGCCTTTTGTAAGAAATTTTACCTAGGTACACAAAATTTGAGCAGAAGTTATTTAAAAAAAAAACGTTTTTTTTGCCTTTGAAGGGCTATTAGTGTGTTAGTGTGTATTTTTAAAAAATGTTTTTGGGTTTGTTTTTATTGTTTTTTCAGGCTCTATCGATCATTAAAATTTTTCAGATTAATCCTGGACCACCCTGTATATACCTATAGGTATATGGTTTTAACGCTGCATAATAATACTTTAACTTTTGCTTCTTAATAACCTATTTAAGTTTTGCCTGAATTTGGAAAAATATTTCAAGATTTTTCTATGAAAAAAAATCCATTTAGTTTTTTTTCCGGATTTTTCTTTTAAAATACCTACTTTTGCTTCCCTGATTTAAGTTTTGGCTAAATTTTTAAGAATATTTTAAGATTTAAAATTCCTATTAATTTAGTATATTTTTCCAGAAATTTCTTTTAAAATATCTAAATATTAACATTTTTTTTGAATATTGAAAACACCCTATAACATAACCCCCTTAAATTGTTAAAATACAAACTTACAAAACTAATCCATCCTCTGCTGCAGACCAAAACAGTGTTCTTTCTTCTGGAGAAACTGCTAATCGTTTAATTCTATTTACATGACATCGGCACAACAACAATGGATTTGTATTTGGACTTTCCGATATATTCTGCACATGAATAAGATGATCTGCAGCAGCTGTTGCTATTATATTATTACTACTACCTAGGAACTAAAACCAAATAAATTATTATTTATGCAAAATTAATTACAAAATACCCTACTTTAACTGAAAATATATTTCCAAAATGTCTGGTAGGTATAACCTGAAGTTTTTTATGCCTGAAAGTGTCCCACAAAATTACATTCCTATCATCAGATCCGGAAGCTAAATGTCTAAAAAGCAAGAAATTAAACTGATTTATTACTAAAAATCAAAAATAACATGCCACTCCAAAATTTTCCAATTCTTTGCCATATAATCTTGTTTCCCATTGAATTTAAATACCTATGAATTTAAATATGATATGAAACATTTTTTTTACAATTCTGTTCAAACCATAATAATTATTGAAATCCATTGAAATAGATGGATAATTAGAGATATGATAAAACTTTAGGGTGGTACATTATTTTTGTTGTTTAGTTATTGAAAAAATTACTTTCCATCTGGAGTCCATTGAAGACAATTTACACAACCTTTGTGTCCTTCCAGTTCATATTCTAATCCCAACCTTTTTACTAAGCTGGTTGTAAATTGAGAGTGGTGTTTTAACACCTTTCCAGATTCTGCACATATTTCACGATACTGAAGAAGTTTTAAAAAGTTTTTCCTATATTTATATTTCTGTAATTTGTGTTCCATCTAAAAATATTTTTTTGCATGTTACTAACACCATTAAAATGACTGAACATTAAAGCAAAATGTCCAACTTACATTTGTTATACAATAAATTGGCTAAAATACACTCAACATTTTCTGCAGCTCTTTAAATTTGATGCTTATTTTTTATTTGTCATAAACGTCAAAATCAACTGTTTTTGTTTTGATGAATTTAGTTTCATGTGTTGGTACACACACACAAATTTTATTATGTTGGCAACATCAAGGCGCTCTTTTTAAATCACCTATAATTATAACTAAATTTAAATCGCTGTGGCTCCCGTCCCGAGGCGGGACTTAAGTTCAGTCCCGATTGTCATAATTTTAAGATTTGTTATGTTATAATAAAATAATAATAATAATAAATTGTACCTGTATACATGTTAAGGGCACTTTAGTTACGTCATAAAACCAAACCAACCCAAACTCAACAACACAACCCAACCGACCCCGCCCCATTGGGCCCCCCCCCCGCCCCATTGAGCAAAAAACCCAACTAAAATGGGCAAATTTATGTTACGATAAAAATAAAACACTTTTTAACAAAGAAGCAACAAATTTATAAAATAAAAAAAATAAAAAAAGTTTGACAACTTCTAGTGGGATCGAACCCGGTACCTCTCGCATGCCAAGCGACCGCCCTACCATCTAAGCCATCGAGCTTGACACAAATTATAAAATCTCGGGGAATAAAAACCGATTTACAGTGTGTGACGTCAATCGGGACTGAACTTAAGTCCCGCCTCGGGACGGGAGCCACATCGAATTTAAATTGCAGAAACAGATCACAATGTTGCCAAATTTAATACAAACAAGGTGATTTAAAAAGAGCGCCCGCTGCGGTAGGCTACCGCCGGTAGCGGTAATGGCGGCCCATGGGTACTTTCTTAGAAGAAAAAAAACAACAGGAACAAGTCTTATCATTTTTTAGCCGTACTAAAACGACGGAAAGCGATGGAAGTCGCCTTTTGCAACAACCAAATATGACTCATTTTTGACTAGAGGCTAAATGTAGCAAAGTATTCCTCAAGCTCAGGCTTATGACCCTGCTCATGGAGCCTACACAAGGAGTCCGAACTGCATGTAAACAAGAATCTTCCTAAAGAAAGTAGGCGCTGGTGTCCCATTTATTTCTACCGAAACGCTACCAAAAGAGCAGACGTCAGGACCAGAGATATGGATCCATATCTCTGGTCAGGACGCATCAACAATCAGCGCCGCAGGTGGTGAAAAAAAAGACTTAATTTGTGCAATTTAGCGAGGGGTAAACCACTGATTTTTTTAAATTAAAAATCGCTTACGAATTAACGGCTAAGGATAACAATAACAAGGGTAGTCATGTACAACGCGTCGCTAAGCACTGATTAAGCACCGATTAAGCACCGATTAAGCAAGTTTTCCTTATTGATAACGACTGATAAGAAAAAAAATCTCAACACAACGTTCACTAACATAGAACGTTGGTCTCTAAGATTTTAAAGTGGTTTACCCCTCGCAATTTAGAGGGCAGGTTTTGTCAATTTTCCCTATTAAGTTCGGGCTCCATGACCCTGCTTATGACGATTAGCTGTCAACACGGTTGCCAACCGTACTAGACTTATAGTATTTCTACCATAATTTTATGTCGGTGTACTATGTACTATAGCAAAGTATTATAGTACGTTAAAATACTATAATTTTGAACAATAGTATTATTATTAAAAAAATCTATAATTTTTAAAAAAGAAAACTGTAGAATTTTTAAAAAAGAAAACTACAAAATTTGTATTTTCGCGCCCTCTTTTATGCAAAAGCAAAACTAGCCTCATGAAATACCGTGGTGCGCATTATCGCGGCGCGTGCATTTATTATCTTATTTAACTCAGTTCAACTGTTATTTTTATCCATAGAAAGAGATTTTTATAGGTTATACGTGTAAATACAGTGTACATTTTATGATAAAGCATTGACTCAACGGATAAAGGGTATGTACCTACAGAATACATTTTCAATTGCATACAAAGTTTGTAAACTTATCAGTTATTGTCACAAAAAACGTTTTGAGAAAATAGATAATATAAATTATATAATATAATAAAAAAGCTGTCTTTAATAAAATTCTAACTGCTATTGGTAAAAAAGGGCCTGCTTCTCAAAAACCTATAGGTACGTCATCTGTAGTATAATTTTTTTTTAAAATACTATAATTAAATTGAGAAAGTAGGTACTATAATATATAAAATTCAAGAGTTGGCAATTGCCAGATCAGTTCTTTTGGTATGAACTTAATACTATAAAGTACATAAATCTCTTTTAGGCAGGGTTAACCCTGCCTAAAAGAGATTTATGTAGTTCAGTTCTTTTGGTATGAACTTAATACTATAAACTTTAAAGTTTATAGTATTAAGTTCATACCAAAAGAACTGATCTTTAAAAAAGAAAAAGTTCCAACCTGACAAAAACCACCTAAGTTTCATCTAGGTACAACCTAACCAAGATTTGACCTGAAGAAAACAATCTAAAAAAATAGAAAAGAGTGAGGGCCCTCCTCCTTTATCCGGGCTTGGGACCGGCAGGTTAAAAATACCTGGCGGAATTACCCTCCACCCTCCTTATCATATTATATACCTACCTAAAATTTCCTAAAACAGATAAAGTATTTAAATAAACAAAAACACGCAAAAACAAATTTACTGGTTGTATACATACTCGCATATAAGATTCACTCGCACCCTGAAGTTCCAAGAAGTCCAAGATGTCCATGTCAGGTCCAAATGAAGGAATTAGGGTAATAGGAAGGGTAGAAAAGGAAAACGACAGATAATAAAGTTACAAATAGATTAGCGCCGGTGCGCAACAACATGCTCCACGTTAAAAGCGGGTTGGCACGGATTACCGATGTTCCGAGACAAAATCCAAAAAGTACTTTCAAGATCCATCTACCATTTTAATTTAATTCAACAATCTGAAGATTGTGGAATTGAACTAAAATGGGTCTAAATGGAAGGAATAAAAAGGAGGGTTTTATAGGAAACTCCTGGGCGCCTGGTTCCATAGGATAATCACTATCTAAAACAGAACAAAACGACGAAAAGAATTAAAAAAATATGATCACCTACCCAAAAGCGAACTAATAGAACTGATCTTTAAATAAAGAAATAGTTTTATCTCCAGCTTGAAATTTGACCCGACGAAAAAAATTTAAACAAAATTTTGACCTATGATCCCTACAAAAACGAAGTAAAAGAACTGATCGTTAAAAAAAGTTCCATATCCAACTTAAAGAATCTAATAACAATTTGACTTACGACCCCTAACAAAAACGAACTAAAAGAACTTATCTTTAAATAAAGAATTAGATTCATCTACAACTTAAACAAGATTTGCCCTAACAAAAAGAATCTAAAAAAGTTTTGACTTACGACCTAACAAAAACAAACTAAAAGAACTTATCTTTAAATAAAGAATTAGTTCCATCTCCAACTTAAACAAGATTTGCCCTAACAAAAAGAATCTAAAAAAGTTTTGATTTACGACCCCTAACAAAAAAAGAACTGATCTTTAAAAAAGAATAAGTTTTATATCCAACTTAAAAAAAACTAATGACAATTTGACTTACAACCCCTAACAAAAACGAACTAAAAGAACTGATCTTTAAATAAAGAATTAGTTTCATCTCCAACTTAAACAAGATTTGCCCTAACAAAAGGAATTTAAAAAAGTTTTGACTTACTACCTAACAAAAACAAACTAAGTAAAAGAACTTATCTTTAAATAAATAATTAGTTCCATCTCCAACTTAAACAAGATTTGCCCTAACAAAAAGAATCTAAAAAAGTTTTGATTTACGACCACAAACAAAAAAATAACTGATCTTTAAAAAAGAATAAGTTTTATATCCAACTTAAAAAAAACTAATGACAATTTGAATTACAACCCCTAACAAAAACGAACTAAAAGAACTGATCTTTAAATAAAGAATTAGTTCCATCTCCAACAAGATTTACCCTAACAAAAAGAATCTAAAAAAGTTTTGATTTACGACCCCTAACAAAAAAAAGAACTGATCTTTAAAAAAGAATAAGTTCCATATCCAACTTAAAGAAACAAATGAAAATTTGACTCTAACAACCCCTAACAAAAACGAACTAAAAGAACTTATCTTTAAATAAAGAATTAGTTTCATCTCCAACTTAAACAAGATTTGCCCTAACAAAAGGAATCTAAAAAAGTTTTAACTTACGACCTAACAAAAACAAACTAAAAGAACTTATCTTTAAATAAAGGATTAGTTCCATCTCCAACTTAAACAAGATTTACCCTAACAAAAAGAATCTAAAAAAGTTTTGATTTACGACCCCTAACAAAAAAAAAAGAAGTGATCTTTAAAAAAGAATAAGTTCCATATCCAACTTAAATAAACTAATGAAAATTTGACTAACGACCCCTAACAAAAACGAACTAAAAGAACTTATCTTTAAATAAAGAATTAGTTTCATCTCCAACTTAAACAAGATTTGCGCTAACAAAAGGAATCTAAAAAAGTTTTGACTTACAACCCCTAACAAAAAGAAAAAGAACTGATCTTTAAAAAAATAATAAGTTTCATATACAACTTAAAGAAACTAATGACAATTTGACTTTCCACCCTAAACAAAAACGAACTAAAAGAACTTAACTTTAAATAAAGAATTAGTTCCATCTCCAACTTAAACAAGATTAGCCCTAACAAAAAGAATCTAAAAAAGTTTTGACTTAGGACCCCTAACAAAAAAAAACTGATCTTTAAAAAAGAATAAGTTCCATACCCAACTTAAAAAAACTAATGACAATTTGACTTACGACCCCTAACAAAAACAAACTAAAAGAACTTATCTTTAAATAAAGAATTAGTGTCAACTCCAACTTAAACAAGATTTTCCCTAAAAAAAGAATCTAAAAAAGTGTTGATTTACGACCCCTAACATAAAAAAGAACTGATCTTTAAAAAAAGAATAAGTTTCATATCCAACTTAAAGAAACTAATGACAATTTGACTTACGACCTAACAAAAACAAACAAAAAGAACTTATCTTTAAATAAATAATTAGTTCCATCTCCAACTTAAACAAGATTTGCCCTAATAAAAAGAAACTAAAAAATTTTGACTTACGACCCCTAACAAAAAAACTGATCTTTAAAA